CTCCATAATACCGAAATTCAACGGAATTTTATTCATTCTTCGACAATAATAGTAATCTCCATACAAAATTGGGCTGGTTGCTGCAAAGTAATGCAGGACAAACTCTTTTACATTCACTTGCTTTACCCCGTTGTTGTCAATGGGTGGGACTGACTACATATGTACACGAGGTGGTTCCTATGAGTAAATTAAAGTCTGCACACCTTTGACCTCAATTTGCAACTGAAGCTCTGAAATTCCTGTGCAGGAAGGATGTAAGCCTTGCCAATAATGCCGGATGATTTCCAGAGCGGCGGAATTATGAATGATTAATAGCTCCGAAGTTGAATGGCAGATCTTAACTCTTACTACGCGCACTGAACTGAAGCCGTAATTTCACTACGACACAAACGAGCAATGATGAAAAGAAATGAGTAAAGAAATTTGGAATGCACACGTAGGTTCGTTTAAGACTTAAATATTTATATGTATAGCTCGACCGAGTTCTAATTTCCATTCGGTTGGAAATTTATGATTTTAAACAGAAAAATGACTGAAACGTTGGTTCGAGATATGAGTTCAAAGTTATGAGAATATTTTCATGATTGAGAATATTCTTACGAGCTGTACCACATCTGAGCCATTTCGGAGTAAAAACTAAGTACCCATAATGCAAGAGAATGACCTTCAACCGTCCAAAAACCGCTAAAAGAGTTTCCCCAAATAGCAGTTATGAAAGCACCAATTCCAAGTTGTTAACGGTGTTGAAGGTGTCCGGAATTTAAGGTAGATTTTTTAAATATGTAGAATGTGCATTTTTATAAATTACAATCTCATGCAAAATAAGGCACCAATTGAACATCACTTGCACATAGTGATGTGTATAAATGTAACACTGAATAATTCACGCCACCAAAGGTCCCTCCGTTACCGGGGAATACTTTGTTGGTCATGTGCATAGTCCTGATTGCGGCTAGCTAGCTATGTCTGTAGGTCTGTTGAGCTTAAGTAGAGTCTTGAAGACTTTGGCACTGAGGGATCAGCAGGGAATGATTGTAATTAAAAGGAATAGAATGCTGGGTCCACGGGTGGCCACGTGAGTGTCTCTTCATGAGAGCTAAACACGCTTCTTTGGTTTAACATTTTTCAGGGTGAGCCGTATGCACCATTATTTCATTAGTCCTGCTGAGAGTTGAGAGCTTTCTCTGCTACCCCATTCCGCTCGCAGATTCCAGTCGCATTAGTTCCAGACTCTGCTGAGGGCGAAGGGTGAGTGAAAAAGTAAAACAAGTGACATTATTATCATTGTCCTCGAGCTACGCAGATCTTACCAGATTAAGCCAACAACTATATCGCTCTCTCCATCAAACAAGTGTGAGTTTCAAACCAACGCATGCATTTGAAGTGGTTGCCTCCTTCCAACTAAATTAGGCTAAATCTCAAAATAACTAGTAGTTTTCAGACCAATTTAATTTGTTCCAGGATTTATCTAGCTTAGTCTCTCAAGAAGAATGTGAAAGCATAAAATGCATAAAGTCATAAAATGGATGTTGACTTTTGCATTAGATTAGTGTGAAGTACTTTGTCTATGACAGATAAATGACTACAATCCATCAAAGCTTCTTGTGGCTATTGTCTCATTTGCCAACGCAGAAAATACCGAGGTTGAATCCGTAACACGTGAACGTTTTTGACCTTAAATTACTGGTTGAACGGCTTGGAGTGGAGGTCCCGAACATTTTTTATGTGAAAGCCCTTTTCTCGAGCTACAAGTCGGTATCGGCGATTTCAACTTTTGTACACTGATTTGACCATGGCGAGGTCAAGTTTAGACCACTCGTCTCTCAAAACTTTCCAAACTCCGTCAAAAGTTTTTGGGTGGCGGAGAAAAGATTTTATTTCAGATATCCAAAGCCGAAAAAATTCTTGGGACTTACATAGAGTGACTTAATAGGTATTGCACTATTTTGGATGATTGTTATCCCGAGTGTAGTGTTTAAGTCCTTAGCGTAATCCTGGGTCAAAAGGGCGGTGTGCGATGACGCTGCGTCGTGATGAACTATCACTTTATTTGTGTCCTAGCCATATAGTTTTGGAAGATGAATCTCCAAAAGCGGTTTTAAAGCAAAGTCAATGAAGTACTTCGCAGTTACCTTCACTTTTTGTGGAACTTTGATAAGTGGGAGGAGACCACGACCAGATAATGCACCAACCACCATGAACTTATTGCAAAACTTTTCCGTGTGCGGGATGGCCAATCTTCTGGAATTATTTTCTTCTTTGGTTGTATAGTAAATTTTTCTCTGACCGTTGGTATCTTTAAAGAAAATAATTCTTCATCCAACAACACTAAAAAGTCACTTTTATCTTTTGTCAGGTAATTAATATAAAATTTTTTGCAGGTCAAACGACGATTTTTTTATGCTTCTCGAGTCAGCTGATGGACTCGGATTTTTCTTCGTTTTTGCCTCCACAAAATATTAATTGCCCGTCGCAAACTAGTCTCTGACACTTTAGTTAGACGTGCCACTGCTCTCTGGGGTGGTGGGTTGTCCTTAGAGGTCAATAGGTCAATTTTCTTAAGCACGAGCCGAATTAGCATTTTTCGGACTCGTGTTTGAGGCATGATGGTTGTCCTTTGGTACGAGCTTGTCGTTATTGACCTTCATTTTTAAGTCCCTTATGTATCTGGCCTTTCGAAACTCGTTGTCCTTGAGTTTTGAAGTGGTTAATTATGTATGTGTACGAAGAATTAAGTTTGGAAAGTGTTTTTATGGTACCCTCTTACTCTAAGGTCAATGGTCGGGTCATTTTTGAATCTAGAGAGCTAATTTTTTGCTCAGCCCTTGTCAACAATCACATGTCGTTATGCTCAAAATTTGAAACCGAAACTCCGACCCGTTTCGGAGCAATTCAAGATTGACCGCGTTCACGTGTTACCGACTCATCCTGTATACATGTGTAAAGTGCATACACAATATGAGAAATAGGTAAATGTGCAAGGTACAATCAGCCATTTTTAGAGTTATGTACATACGTGTTGCTAGTTTTAGTAATAACATATATTACGCAGACGAAAGTAGGGACTCGCAATATGTAAGATTTTATAGATATTAAAAATCAATGATAAACAGTGATGGTGGAAAAGGCGTGGTCGCGGTCATTGTTATCCTAGAAACATCTTTGCACGATTTTTGTAAGTGATGATTGACAGCGTTATTAATTTACTGGGTAAATAGTTTCTACTCGTCCGCTATTTGTGTGTTTGAAAACTTTACTCATGTATCAATTTGAGCAGAGCAAAATGTATACATATTCCAAAATTAGACTTCCATTACAATAAACGCATATGTTCGTACACATGATGTATTTCACAAACTTCATTTAAATTCATCGACATAATGCGACAATCATGCTTCATTCTGAATACAAAAATAAACTGCTTAAAATTCAACTGGAAGGAAAACATCATTGATGAATCATACACGCAAGTCATAAAACACTCACTTGCAGTGCTCATCATAGAATAAGTAACACGATGTGAGAACTGAACTCGCACACACTAATTCAAACACACCAAATACATTTATAAGTCAAAACGAAGATACGACAAAGAGAGGAGGAATACAATGTAGCGATTTAACTTAACAGTTTGTCGCTCCACAAGTACATATTTCTCCTTTATCAGCCCATTTCCCGTATGGAAATTCCCCATAGATTATTGTCCTGGATAATAATATTGATAAATACCGTCAAGAGAACTGCAATAATAAGGATTACAACTTATTCCACTTGAAAGAATTTTAACAGCGGTCTGCTCACGAACATGTCTGCCAACTCGGAATTGGAAGTATAGATAAAGTCGCTTTTTGCTTATTTCGATTGCAGCTATGAATAATTCCAAACTCATACAATTTTTGGAGTACCCTGCTTTTCGAAGCTTTTTGATGTAATGAGATTAATTTTGATCAGTAATTTTTAATCCATTGATCCCGATTTACATTTTCTCAAGTTTCGACATACACGCGGACATTTTAGTCTCGTATTTATATCCTCAAAATACTAGTGCAAACTTTTAGCCTATTTTTACTTTTGAAGATGAAGAAGTGAGTAATAAACCAAGAAGGCACCGCAACACACACGCCTCATCGTGTGTTCAAACTTGTGGAAAATCGATTGTAGCATAATACACAGGTTAGGTCACTACTATGCATGTCTGCATTATTAGTACTTCTTAAGAGTCAAGAGTTCTCCACAACACCAGAACTTTGCTTCAATGCACATTGATAGGCCAATGCACGTTTGAGCAAGGAAGACACGATTGTGACGCAACTTTTTTCAAGTAGCATTTTATTTATCAACGCAATCGCTCATATCCCACCTAACTAACTATCCTACCTAAACCATTACCAAACTGACTGATCCATTCACTTTTACCTCCCATTATCCGTGTGGACGGGAAAATATGTACTCACAAAAGTTAACCGTGTGAAATAAGCTCTTTTAAATTCTAAAGATCAAACCTATAGTGACAAAAAACATCTCTTGTAAAAGTGTAAAACTTTTTTTTGTGCACACGTACGCATGAAAAAGTAAGATATGTATGCATCATGTACATGCATACGAATGGGTGATCATAATGTACAGTGTATTGCATCATGAATGCAGGATGAATGCATGGAGTCGTATGGATGAACAGAGTCGCAATCACCTTCTCCAATCAAGTGATACTCTCCCAATAATAAAATTGATGTTTTTTGTTGCAACCGTATTGGTAACAAACAGCGCGTTGCACGGTATCTTTGGAAGGAGGTGATACATGTATGCAATGCAACATTAATATCATAGCTGATAAGTACCGAGTGGAATAAATTTGTGCCCTGAAGTGTGAGTCTCTAATATATCCCATTTATAATCATTAGCAAAGCAAATGACTGTTTCGGGCTCACATCGTTTATTTACTCCTCCAACCCGTTGGTGTATGGCATCATCGAAACAGAAGCAAGCAGCAGAAAAAGATGAGAAAATGAGAATGATAGCACATTGTGTTCTCAGTTCTCAGCTCGTGCAGCAAGCAACAGTTTTTGTTCCATCCTTCAGGTTTATAAAGTTCTAACGACGGGAACATGATGGTGAACATGGTCGAGCTGTAAACGAATTGGGGACGGCGTCTTGTCTGTTTTCGCAAATTTTATTAGATTTAGCACACATTGAGTTTTTGCTTTTCTGTGTCATCATAACCCAAAGACATTTATACGGTGCCATTACATTTACACGAAAAGAAGTTTAGTTTTGAAAAATACTTGTGCACTGCAGCTCTGGTATTCACTCTTCTTTCGGAATTTGGACCATTTGAACACTTTTGGGAATTGTGAACACAAAAAGCCACTTTGCTCTCAGTTACTTACACTACAGTTTGAAGAGGGGAAGGTTGCCGATAAAATTAATTTCACATATAAATAATTGCATTCTGTCTGTGCGTGATTGATGATTGGCTTCCCCTGGAGCTGGACAGATTTGAAATTTCGATTAATTTTTGTTGACAAACACATAAATCCTTAGATGAATTTAATTGTGAATTTAAATCCGTTATTAATAATACGATTTATTAGCCATTGCAGTGTATCATATGACGTAAAAAAATTGTATCTACTTTGCAACAAGTAAGTAGTTTCTTGCTGTTAGTGTGATTACTTAGCACTGCATAAAATATTACCATATTGTAGAACCCCAATAAATGCTACATAATTCATAGTCCCCGTTAACTTCATTGGTGGTTGTCGTTTGTGGTTTGTCAAATGGATATAAGGATGCTGGCTTCATTACAAAACAGTTCATAGAGTCAGCCAGTTCTCAGTCATAAGCCAAAAAATTACTTGGAACCGAATGGATTAAATCCATGTTTTTAAGGTTACTTACTTTATATAAAAACTAAATTTTTTGCAAGTGTGGTATGAACGTATTTTCTGCCCAAAGGAACATCGGAGGAAACAAATAAATACGAGAGCAACTTAGAGTCTCGCTGTTATCAGTGTTTAAGGATGAGCTAGAAAGTGGATTATTAAACATTGAATGCATGTGTGTGATAGTACGTAAATTGGATTGTATTCGGTGTTTGTGCGTGTGTGGTGTGGAAATAGAATTGAGAGAGAGAAAGGGAAGACACGGGTCTTCTCTTCTGATGGTACTTTGGTCGGGCAGCGTCAATAATGGAGTGTTCTCTATGTTGAAGGAAAATGGGAGAAGGAAAGCAGGAGAAGTAAATAAGGAGGAGAAGACGACAGCGAGCGAGGTGGAATGGAGGTGAGGTGAATGTCGGAGCTGGTGAGGAAGTCACAATACAAATACAATCACATCACCATCACCGACCAAGTCAGCCAATGTGAGTCGAGAGAGAGGAAGTGAAAGTGAAATACAAGAGGACACAATGGACTTTGGTTGCAGAGGGAAATGAAGGAAATGGAAGAAGAAGGAGAGGTTGTTGGTTTGTTTGAGAAAAAAGTGCAGATGTGGATCCCCTGAGAAATAGATGAACATGAGATTAGCATGTACACGGAATCCGAAATCGATGCAAAAGCCAGTGCTTATAATAATCGTGCCTGAGATCTGCATCCTTCTCCGTGTTATTGCAAAACTATTCTCTTCTCTTGGATCTGACACAGTCAATAAGTAAATGAGTTCAACTTACTTTTACTTATCGCACTCTAGAGCACGGCCACTAATTTTCCTGTCACTTAATTAATGTTTCCCATCCTCGCTCTCTGCATCTCCCACGACTCACCGCACCCAACGCGAAAGCCAAAGTAGCTCGGTTGGCTGGTACTATTACAACAATAAAAGACAAGCACGCAGCTTCCATCTTCTTGGCTGTGAAAGGTTTTATGCGCTATTATGTTCGGATCTTGAGGAGTAGACGACACTTGCACCAACAAACCTGTTTCCACATACTTGGGGTTTTATTTTGTGGTGGGTATCTAGATGCGGGTGTTGCTCATTGTATTTCTGAATTCCAGGGACAAATAAGTTTCTTGGTCGCAGAGAAATCCAATATTGCTGTGGATTAAGATTTGGTGAAAGCCAAAGCGAGGGATTTATCGTCGTTGGCATTTGTATTCTACAGATTCTTGTCCCCAGAATCTATTTATATAGTTGAAAAAATTGATTTAGTTATTCCGTCCATGATTTTAATTTGGAGAAGAATACATTCATAAATATGGTGAAATGGCTCTAAAATAATTTATCCCTGCATCTGTCGATCAATACATAACTTGTAAATATGAATCTGTGGACAGTTTGTATCCATAATGTATAGCCATGTGAGACTTTTGATTGGCATAATCAAATACAAGCATTACAAGTTTGGAGTGTCGAACCAGAAAATTCTACAAATTACTAAATTGTGATTGACCAATGATCCAGTTTTCTGAGTTTACTCTGCTCATTAGAATTTGCATGTATATGCATATGTACGACTACGCAAATTTTAATTTGCACTGTACATACTCTGTTAATGCATATTATCAGGGTGACACAGGCACTTTCCCAATATTCTGACTTGTTGATGGCCAACATTTATCTGTTTTGACGTGAGAGAGATTACACCCAATTGCAAATTGTGTTTGTACTTGTACTTACCCACTTAAACTCGCTTCCTCGTTCACATATCCCTGTGATAACTTTGAGTGAATCCTGCCAGCCATCAACCCTTCCAAATGAAACTCAGGTTTTATACAGTAAACTTCAGGAAGTAGCATACCTGCATATGCACATATACATATGTAGAAGCACAAATACATAGGAATATAATCCGAACGAATCCTTTGGGGACGACTGCACATGTTTCGCTGCTTTTGACTGTTTAGGTACGAAACAGTTTTATCCTCATGAGTATTAGTCTGGAAACATTTAGCAGAGAGAGGTTGTTGAGGGTCGATGAAATTAAAACATTTATGACGCTGCTCTCAAATTATTTTCTCGTTGCATAAGTATTGTCGGGCATTGAGTACCCTATTCCACAGTAGTTTGTTGCAATCATTACACACTTTATTGTCCATTGTTATAAGTCATGTTTACAATCCGCATATCCAACTAAACTAATCGATTTATCTCATTATCTCCCAAAGTTGATTCCCCTTAATAAATGGATATTTGACAATCAATCAATCCCTTAGATTAAGTGGCATCAAGATAATTCATTGACATTATGTGGATGGTAGTGTGTGCTGGGTACATATGAATATCAGACTGTGCAACTTGATTGTCTGCAATTTCATGTGCAGCCATGCGTGTGTCATTACTAGCAGAGAGTGTTTGTTAGTCTATGTAACAGTGACATCGGTGCTAGAGGTTGAGCTGAATTTGTTACATTTCTAATGAACGTTGTATATCAATTTATCAATCACCATAATAGTTCAACTGTTATAATCTAGACGGAGGATGCTAAAAACTTAATGTGTTGATGAGTTGTGTAAGTTTCTAGAGTACTTATGCATACTTTACACAGTCAACTGCAGAGAAAATGGTAGCTCATTTTATGCACCGGACAATTTTGCATACATATTTTGCACACATAGCGCTTTCCTAACCGTTTTTTCTTTTACTCCAACCAAGGTACATGCATAGAACCCACATAACCGTATGTATGTCCATCCTTCTATCTTCATATGTACATAAATTCCGATCGTGATACTCGCATAAAACTTATCGGCTTGACTTAAACTTTGCTAAATCGAATTAAAACCATACCCCACGATATGGTTACCATCCAAAATAGGATGAGGAACAATGAGGAACCAAGTTTGAACTCGGTCCAGTGAGTGACCAGTGGGGGTCATTTAAGTACAGATGGGCGTTTCCCTGTGCCAAATTTTAAAAAGGGTCGATTGCATTCACATACTAATGAAGTGGCTGAGGGTGAATATCTCAATTTCTCACCTCATGCGCATTTATGAAAACCTGTTGGCTACCCTCCCACACACACTTTTAATCAGACTTTCAAAATAATTACAATTTTAGAGCTCGAGAATTGAGAAAAGACTTTCGTTTCCTTTCGTCAAAAAATATTCCCACACGAAATTTGGTCTTAAGACAGGGAAACGAAATAGTATTGCAACACTGCAGTAGCATCGTATCATCATTAATGGAAAGTTCATTGAAGACTCAATACCTTGTGCTGACAAGGACATGCAATATGGAACATGTTTCAAATTTAAGTACATAAATTCAAATGGTAAGCAGTGGCACGTTTAGTTGTTTATCTAGATTTTCCATTTGCTTTTAGTACTACATTAATTATGCTAAGGCTTTCTTCATGGAACATTCAAAGAGAAATTTTAATATCAGAATTAGAATGCAAATATAAAGGGCTGAACATTTCACACGTTTCCAAAAGCGTCCTCCGTAAAGCATCCTCATCACTATTGAAACTTTCCCCTCACCCAAGTTAATCCTTTACTCTACGATAAGGAACGACAATACACGTGTAAAAATCCGTCCTTCTCCAAGATTTTATCCTGTACGTTTTTTTAAATTATTTTTTCATTAAATAAAGCCAATTTTTTCCTGTTGAAAATGTCCATGTAAGCATTATTACAATTTCCGATTGCCAAAAGGCATCCGCTACTGAGACATTGCCCTAATTATACTTACCATATAACCCTTTAGAATAAATATGTGTCTTACGTTGTATAATGTACACATTATACACGTTTTAGAGCGACATCCCTTTCAGCAAAATCGGATTACATAAAATGTGCTGAAAGCTGGAAAACGTGAAATAAACAAACTCTAATAAAAATCCTGGGTTATTAGCTGATGCGAGTTACGTACATCTAAATGTTTAAAAATCCGTATCCGCATGATTCAAATGAAATAAACAATTACAAAAATAGAAAAAGGCTACATGACCAGGATGGATTTGTACTTTTTGTAGACTTATTAAATAGCAGGTTATTCTCTGCCTCGTCAGAAATAAAATGAGCATCAGAATTCGGAAGAAGGAAAAGGGGAAAAAGATCCAGTTGAGCAGATCCATTTTCTACCACCAATTTATCTCTGACTAAGCCACTAAAGTCGACGATTTTTTAGTTCAGTGCTTCTACACTCACCCTGTCATTAGTCTCATTATAACGCGTGAAGAATTTTACGGTATTCATTCTGATTTTAACAACAGCGCTCAAATTGCATGACCTCAAAGTCTCTCGTGTCCCTCATTCCATTTGGATTACACCGAGCAAAAGTACCAGAAAGAAACAGCATGTGACCTAAAATATATAAAGTTTAGTAGTTGATATTATGCAAAACAATTTGCAGCTGCTCCCAATCTCAGCGTTCTCTTCTTCGTTTTATATGTCTACCTGATTTCTCTGTAGATTTTATATTTCATAAAATAAATTTGTTACAAGTACTTGCTGTACATATTTCTGCCACGTAAGTACCTTGGATTTTATGCCCATCAAAGTGAGAGATGCAATGCTATTAACCTGGAGGAGATAAATAGCAAGACGGATAAGTACGTAATCTTGAATACAGAAAAGGTTTTCATATCCTCAGTCGCATTAAACCTGGACGACTCTGAGATGAGAGAGGGAGGGAGATCACTAGCTCAACTGCTACGAACCAACCACTCAACTTTCTTTGGAGAAAGACGAGGTGACAATCGATGATGGAAATTCCGCGTTAAAAGGTTCATCGCGGTTGTGATGATGTGATTCCCTTCGCACTGAAGAGCTGGCTGGTTGCATGGCTGGCTGTATAAGCATAACAAGGAAAGAAAGTGCTTGGGTGGGAATAGGGAGGAAGAAAAAGTGGAAGTGAAGTTGGCGGTGGGGTGACTTATGCTGTTGCTGCGAGTGGTTATCCTCAGACGATCGACATGAAACCTTTTATGGGTCTTGCTTAAGCTGACGAGGGTGCGTTCCTCCTTTTCACCAGATACGTATACATGCACATATCTTGCACTCATAGCTTCTTCCTTGGCTAAAAATACAAAATTGTACCAACACAAATTTGTGCTAGCTTTAACTCGTTCTTTTTTGGATGGTTGCTGGGTTCAATCTCTCGAGGTTGAAAATTTAGAAAGTTGACAAAGTCGTGCTACATTGATTGGATTTGATGAGCACTATGAGATAAGCGAACATTGGTTGGTTTAGGAACTCTGACTTTTAAAACTCTAGAGATTCGTGAATGGCAGAATCCTGTTATGGATTCAGATTTGACCTTTTCATATTTTGATGGGTAGAATTTTTTAGGCCATGTACTTTGGTCACCGTATCTCGACTGGCAGTAGAGCAGGAGCAGGAGCTAGACCACCAGACGTGATCCATTTCTGAAGGAAGCATTGATGCAAAAATCCAGAGTCAAAAAAGATTTATGTGTTTCCTGTACTCTGCTTATTTTCGGGTCAGTCGACGATGGCATGGCTGTATCTTCATTTCATCGGTACCTGATCGTATCAGGAGTGAAATAGGAAATAGTTTGGGCTGGGGTTTTGGGAGTTGGAGCTGGTCATCCATAAAATGATAGAATTTGGATGGCTTGATGAACCGTAATCTTGTTAGTACAGCCAACGCTTGGGTTTGGTGTGGAGTACATACGAGATATTATTTGGCAGAGTTTTCATTAAGTCTCGCAAAAGTTTGCGAATGGTCCGTGCTTATTGCTTTCAGTTT